AAGGGGGGGGACGGAGGGTTTGTCTGCAATAAGTTCCTGAAGTATCCATCTGGTACATGTTAACCTCAGGTGGGGGGGGGGGGGGATATTTGTATGCAATGAGTTCCTTGAGTATCCATCTGGTCCATGTTAACCTAATGTAATGCCCCAGGTGGAGAGTACAACTGGTACACAGAGCTTCATATTGCCCTCCTGCAAACCAGATTTCCCTTTGATAGATTGATTCACAGAATTAATTTCTAGGGATAACCTTGGCTATAAATACACTGTTAGATAAATGTTCCCGTGTCGGATACTAGGAATGTTTATTTGTCAGTCTTGGAAAGAGGTATATTGCTTAGAATGATGAAAGGGGAGAAAATCCTGCTCATGTCATTCGAAACATTCTTTTCGACAGCCACTGCTATAGTTTATGAGAGGCCTCTGGGGAAATATTTCTTTGGGTTCAAATTTCTTAAAGCATTCAGGGAATCATGCTTATTTTTTATACCAAGAATATACTGTTATTTTTTTCAGTCTCATGGTAAAAAGACATCCCTATAGTTTGGAGTTAACAGAAACTTTGAAGGTAGGCTGCATGGTTTTTAATTTAGTTCATAAGACAGATTAAATTTGTTCTGAATCTTTAATTTGGCTGCTGATATTTTGAATAGCAATTATGTTCCATTCCAGGACTATATGTTGCTTACTAGTACTAGTAGTATCATTATGCACATATTTCAAGAAAGAAGAATTTTCTTAATTACCTTTTATATACATCTCACCACAAAATAGCTTTTAAAAATTGTAATTTGGATGTTAAAAATAGTAACTAATATTGTTGAAACCATAATGCTTGATTTTAAAAATTGAAACGTAATTTGAGTATATTTGCTTTTTTGATAGTGAATGAATTTTTAAAAGGAAATTTAAATTGTTTTGTTAGTTCATAAATTGTTTAATGTGTTGATAATCTGTTTCTCTGGGTTCTCCCTCCTTGTGTCTATAGAATAGCTGAAAGCAACTTGGGGTCTTGCAGAGGTTTTCTGTTATCCTAAAGCTCACATTGCTCTGCCTGGGGGGAGATTTTGACAGGAAAATTAATGGACAAGAAGAATTTATAGATCTATAGACTATTGAACTGAGTCCACATCTCAATGTACAGCAAGCTGCACAATGAGTTTCCAGGAGAAGAAATAGAGTGATTATAGGCACCCCACCATAATGGAAATCAATCAAGTGTAATGGATCAACAGGCTATCTGGAATTATTGCAGTTATATGCTTAATATATGAGTGTATTGTTTCTGTGGAATGCAATGTAAACCTATATCTCTGTTAAACATTATTTTTGGTTATTTCCCAACCTTTGGGTAGCGTGCTAGTAACCATATGTTATAGGGCAATTTAGCAAGTTAACCTAATATCAACATGTGAGTAGGAATTTCTCAGAAACAGGAGCTCATATCCAGGGATTTGTCTGCTGTTGATCTTTTTTTATGGATGGTAAAGGAATCCTTCTGATCTGGTGCCAAATGTTGGCATGTACAGAAGCTTTATAATATATCAACTAGGTAAAGGAGAGACAGTGTCAGAACTCTGAAACTCGGGATGATAGAGAACAAAGGACTTTTAAAATAATCACATTTCAGAATGAAATTCTAACTAGATATTATCCATGGAAATAAACTGTCCAGTTCCTTTGCACCTAAACAAAATCTTTCTCTCCCACACACACTGTCAAATGGAATCTATATTCAACTGCAGCAGTACTTCACACAGAATTGTATAGTTATTAAATGTTATCTAGATCTACTCCAGGTATGACAGACAGGCCAAGATAAAGCTCAGGACTATTAAAGTCCACAGGTAAACATGAAACCCTTTCATCTTCATCAGTTCTATAATGAAGGCTTTTACATGAGTTTAACTCCAGTTCTGTTTCTGTGTTCTAGGGATCCATGCCATACCATACCTCTCAATGGATTGGGATCAGACTATCTAGGAACCAGATATGGCTGAAGATGTAGTGCACTATATGAAGTCTCTCCATACCCAGTCCCCCACACCATGCACTCCCCTCCAGTTGATGTAGAGGAGGTAGCTGATTAGTAGTGATGGATCTAATGTATCCCAGGCGTCCAGTGGCCTCGCCTCCTGACACACTTCAAGGCCGGAGACTGAGCCTGGAGACGTTTATGGTGCGCGTCCACATGGGGCCGCTAAGCCAGGAGACAGAATTCACCAGTGTGGAGGCTGAAAAGACAACACAGGCCCTGGAGGTGGTCAGGATTGCAGTGGCCAAGTTAGCTCTGGGAAAGGCAGAACATTTTGAGTTAGCTGAAGTCTTTGTCTCTGGTGGACAGTTGTGTAAAGAAAGGAGATTGTTACCTAATGAAACGCCAGTCAGGATCCAGTTGTTATGGCCGAGGCCGATGGCGGCTGCTGATATCCTGCCCTCGACACTGGACCCCCCCAGTCAGGTGACAGAGTACAGATTTTATCTACGGAAAAAAGGGGACAGAACTTCCAGTAGGACAGGGTCTTGGGTGGAATATGCTGAACCCAACCCAGTGGATACTTTCCTCAGCTCATTTTTAAAACAGAGAAGTGGAAAGGATTATCCTGATTTGTGCAATCTCCCAGATTTGAATGAAGTGACACTAATGGAAAATTTGAAACTTAGATTTAGTAATGGAAACATATACACATATGTAGGATCCATTCTCATAGCTGTTAATCCTTTTAAATTCTTTCCTATTTACAATCCAAAATATGTGAACATGTACCAGAATCGAAGGTTGGGTGACTTACCTCCCCATATATTTGCCATAGCAGATGCTGCTTATCATACAATGTTACATGAGAAATCAGACCAGTGTATAGTGATCTCAGGGGAGAGTGGCAGTGGAAAGACAGAGAGTACAAACCTACTGCTGCATCATCTCACGGCACTCAGCCAGAAAGGCCTCCATGGGAGTGGAGTAGAGCAGACCATCCTTGGTGCTGGACCAGTACTGGAGGTAAATTATACGTAAGAGTGTGCATGTGTGTGTGTGTGCGTGCATGTGAGCGGGATGGAGCAGACCATCCTTGGTGCTGGACCAGTACTGGAGGTAAATTATACGTAAGAGTGTGTGTGTGTGCGTGCATGTGAGCGGGGTGGAGCAGACCGTCCTTGGTGCTGGACCAGTACTGGAGGTAATTCATACGTATGAGTGTGCATGTGTGTGTGCGTGCATGTATAGTGTAATCTTTGTACATTGTTTATTTCTGAAATATAAAATTAGCACTTTCATCAGAAATTAATTTAGTATGCTTGTCTATGCATGTGTTTTGAAGTATTCCCATTTTAAAAATATATTTATTCTGGACTAGAATTTATTTCAAAGAATAATGTATTTTTCTGTTTCAGAAATTTACCAGGGAACTGAAAATATGCTGGCTAGGGCATTACTAAAACCAAGATTTTTTTGGGAAATAAGTTTCAAAATGTATTCATGCACAAAGTGATTTTTGATTAATTTTCACGTTGAAGAAGATAGATATTTCTTTCAGATTGAAGCTCGGTCATGAACACATCTAGAATGATTTGAGGCACTGGAGTAAAGTGAAAAAAATTTGTCATTTGAAATATTAGCCTTTAAATGAATGAATAGGGCCATGTTGATGTGAGGTTTCATAATTTTTTATAGATAAATTGGCAGCACATTTTAGTGAACAAAGTCCTGGGTTTGTATACCATGTTGGTGTCTGTAAACTGAGTGATATCATGTCTGTACAGGTGCTGTACTTGGACCTCTCTGTAGATTATACTTCTTTATAGAGAAATAGAGAACATGTTNTGTGCGTGCATGTGAGCGGGATGGAGCAGACCATCCTTGGTGCTGGACCAGTACTGGAGGTAAATTATACGTAAGAGTGTGTGTGTGCGTGCATGTGAGCGGGGTGGAGCAGACCGTCCTTGGTGCTGGACCAGTACTGGAGGTAATTCATACGTATAAGTGTGCATGTGTGTGTGCGTGCATGTATAGTGTAATCTTTGTACATTGTTTATTTCTGAAATATAAAATTAGCACTTTCATCAGAAATTAATTTAGTATGCTTGTCTATGCATGTGTTTTGAAGTATTCCCATTTTAAAAATATATTTATTTTGGACTAGAATTTATTTCAAAGAATAATGTATTTTTCTGTTTCAGAAATTTACCAGGGAACTGAAAATATGCTGGCTAGGGCATTACTAAAACCAAGATTTTTTGGGGAAATAAGTTTCAAAATGTATTCATGCACAAAGTGATATTTGATTAATTTTCACGTTGAAGAAGATAGATATTTCTTTCAGATTGAAGCTCGGTCATGAACACATCTAGAATGATTTGAGGCACTGGAGTAAAGTGAAAAAAATTTGTCATTTGAAATATTAGCCTTTAAATGAATGAATAGGGCCATGTTGATGTGAGGTTTCATAATTTTTTATAGATACATTTGCAGCACATTTTAGTGAACAAAGTCCTGGGTTTGTATACCATGTTGGTGTCTGTAAACTGAGTCAAACCAACTTGCTTTTATGTTGTGTTGAGCTCTCTTTTCATCATGTTATGACAGTCAGTGTCACATGAGTCAAAGCACAAATATTGATATCAACTTTGAAGAAAGAAAGATGTGATCTTCTATCAATTTTTTTGTGGATTCTCATTGATCCTTCAAATCAGATATGAATCGTGTGGCAATGCTTATGTTATTCAGAATCGTTCAGTTTGAAAACAAAAATGCTGCACATGATGTTAAAGCTCCCCACAAACTTGATTGATCATCATTAGAAATTTACTTTTCTGTGTTAGCATGAGAAATGAGTTTTTGGGTAAAAAAATGGCTGATGTTATGAGGTAGACACACCTACCTCTCCAGTGTATTGTATATATTTGTACTGTTTGTGTAGGAGTTGTGGTCTGCAGGGCATGCTTGCCTTCTCTTATCACTCCTCACTTTTTGCAGTGAGCTGAATAATTTTTGTCCCTTCAGTTTATTTAAGTGATACCTGTTGCAGTTGTTTTTATAAAGTTAAATTGGTGGCATTTTTTTCAGTAAAACATAGCCTTACATGATAAAAGACTGTAGAGAGTGTTAAAGTAGCAGTGAAATCATTGACATCCTCATTAATCCACTTCATTCCTAGTTTTAAATAAAGGACTGTAGAGAGTGTTAAAGTAGCAGTGAATTCATTGACATCCTTATTAATCCACTTCATTCCTAGTTTTTAATAAAGGACTGTAGAGAGTGTTAAAGTAGCAGTGAATTCATTGACATTCCCATTATTCCACTTCATTCATAGTTTTAGACCAAGCTGTGCTCAATATTCATACAATTGACAAAATTTGTGTATAATATAGTTCCAGGTTGAAATACAAAATATATTCCTCTTGGTTTATTTTGATCTCTGACACAAATGAATAATTAAGTGAAGTTAAGATTTTCCACTTTGAGAAACCTAAAATAAAAAGTTGAAGCTAAAATTATGTTATTGAGCAGGGTTATGTCATGGGCCTAGAATTGAACAGCCTGTGAGTAAACTTTGGCAAACATGCATGCAAATCTAGTCCTTGAATTAAAACTCAAAAATATCCCATGCAGTCTACAACATTTCTATATGAGTCACAGGGTGGGGTGGTGTCCTTGTAAATACACTACCAGTAGGGTCATTAGTGTGGCATGGCTTTTACATGTTATTTTATATGACCTAATGGACCCCCAGCACTGAATAGAAATTTTATAAAATATGGTTTGAATTGACTGATCAAAACTCTCCTGTGTTGAGCATCTTGACTGACATGTCTTTACTGGTAACCTGGGTTTCTTTTTTAAACATAGATACATAGTTAGATTTGTGTGGCCATTCATCATGCTCAGTTCTTTTCTAAATAAAACACAAAATCTGCATAAGCTTTAACCAGGCCTTATAAAGGGATTAGGCGTTTGCGAAAATAAGCCTCAAGTTTGTGAACACATATGCCCAAATTAATGACTCTAGCCAAGAAAATTTTAAGAAACCCAACAAAATTGTGCTCCCAAATTTACAGCTCATGATAGCAACTGGCAGTTATCATTTATGAGCCCTGTTATTTATCTCCAACAATCTTCAGCAGAAAAAATAGTTCACCTCCTGAATTCCATCTTCAAACCATCTGAGAAAGGAATGAAGGGCAGCAACCTTTTTCACAATAAAAATGTAAGGCTGCTCTCTGCTTGACATCTTCCTTGCTATGGGTTATGCTTTTATTGATATTATGTGAACCTCAGCAGGAAAGTTATGCCCTGAAGATCTTGGTCAACGGGCTTTGCTTGCTCATGGGATTTTATGGTGTTTGGTAGAGAAAAAATCCTGCAGATTCAGAATGCGTTAACAGTGTGGTAAATTAGGCAGTTTACCATGTGAATGTTATCTATATCTGAGACTTGATGGGTTTGTCTCTGGCACTGGGAGGAACTTATTGTAAAAAGAAATTACATCTTGGATGATTTATACCTATGATTCTAGTGGATAATTGTTTTCCAGTTACTCTCAATTTTTTACAGAAATGGAAGTTTGACTATAGATAGAATTCAGCATGGTTTTTGTAGTTAGCATGTGGAGAACATAAATCCTGCTTAAGAATATTATTCTGCATAAATAAGGGCCCATCTCAAATTTGGGAAACTCTTTCAGATGTGGTCCATAACTTGGGGCCCATCTAAAGGTCCGAGGTTCTCTTTTAGTTGTGGTCCCAGAGTTGGGGCCCATTTCAAGGTCCAAAAAACTTTTAGTTGTGGTCCCAGAGTTGGGGCCCATTTCAAGGTCCAAAAAACTTTTAGTTGTGGTCCCAGAATAGAGTTGGGGCCCATTTCAAGGTCCAAAAAACTTTAAGTTGTGGTCCCAGAGTTGGGGCCCATTTCAAGGTCCAAAAAACTTTTAGTTGTGGTCCCAGAGTTGGGGCCCATTTCAAGGTCCAAAAAACTTTTAGTTGTGGTCCCAGAGTTGGGGCCCATTTCAAGATTCAAGAAACGTTTAGTTGTGGTCCCAGAATAGAGTTGGGGCCCATTGCAAGGTCCAAGAATCTCTTTTAGTTGTGGTCGTAAAGTTGGTGCTCATCTGAAAGTCCAAGAAACTTTAAGTTGTGGTCCCAGAGTAGAATTGGGCCCATTTCAAGGTGACATTGACAAGCATCTGACATCTGGCAGCTCTGAAGGATTAACATGTTGATCCTGACACACTAATGTGTTTGTATTAGTCTTTCAGGTGATGTAAATGCATTTGTATCCTGTAATTACTTCTTATATTAGTCATGTAGGTGTTATAGAATTATTTACTTATTCTTTGTTGCAGGCATTTGGCAATGCGAAGACTGTCCACAACAATAACTCCAGTAGATTTGGCAAGTTTATTGAAGTCAACTATAAGGAAAATGGAATGGTGCATGGGTAAGGAAGGTCATTCATAGACTTAATAGACTGTATATGGTACAGGGTATTTACTGTGGCTCATTATGTAGCTTTAACTTAAAACTTGAGGAAGTCTACAGGTCCTATTGTAGGTGACTATTGTAGTTATACTTCTTTTTGCCAAACATGGAGCCATAGGGCTAATACTGTCACTGATGAGTTGTTCACCCGTAAAGTGAGCTATTTGTGGCCCTCATTCTTACACTAATATGATCAATAGCCATACATATTGAAAATTTCCTCTATATAACAGAATTGTTAGTGGGCTGAATACAATTACTATTGAAAATACCCCCACCCTCAACCCAACTCCACCCCCACCCACCCCCACTCAACCCAACTCCACCCCCACCCACCCCCACCCTCAACCCAACTCCACCCCCACCCACCCCACCCCACCCCAGATTGTCCCAATGTCACACCATGCCATTAAATTCTTTCAGATAAAACATATTGGGACATGTTCGCTGTATGGTAACAAAAATATCATCAGATACAAATTCTTCATAGAGAATTTCCAAGAACTGTTAAGAATCTGACATTTACTTGCCTCTCCAACTTATGATTTATTTGTGTAGAGATGACCTAGTTAGATATTTAAATGCTATCACACAGACAATTTGTTCACCAACCAGGGGCAGATGGTTGCCCAGGTGGTGGAACACCTGCACCTGGAATGTGTGCCTGCCATCTTGAATGTAAAGACTGGCATTTTCTAGCTGGAAGGAGATCCTGGAAGTATGCTCTGTTTTGATAGGGTTATGAGTTCAAGTGGTACATCTTAATGAAATGGCTTGATTTTGCTAATCTTAATTTCAGCTGATCAGTGGATCTATGTTGAGGCGCGTGACTTTGTTATTTTGCTGTGTTTGTAAACTGGGTTAGACCCAATAACTCCAAGAAATTTTTTATTTGGTCCTAAGGTTTTTTTCCCCACACACAGGACAGTTGAACCACCCTAAAAAGATAGTAATCACCTTTAGATTACCTTTGTACGACAGTTTCAAGTAGCAAACCTCCAAAGCATCCATATTTTAGGATTTAATATTTTGAAATTCATGTAAGCAGTAGGAAGGCCTAGTTATTAGGGACAGTTATTGTATACAGCGTGGAGACCAGACAGGTAAATAGGTCTGTAGTTACTCAGCATGAGATCTTCAGGGTGAAATAAAGAGGTTTCTGGTCATAATTAGCTGATGATCTGTAATTTGTTTGCCTTTTCTCCCCTCTCCAGAAATAATCTTTCCTATCCTTGAATGCAATGTCTAAGTATAACCTTTACAGCAAATCTTTCAAGAAAAGTTCACCATTTTAAATGTCAGACAAATTTGTGTGTGATGGGTGGCAGGGCTCAGGTAGGCTTCTGTAGAGGTGCTAGATTTTGCTGTCAGTCATCTGCATCAAACAAAATTTGAAGTGCACATCATATTAGCTTTAGTGAAATGTTCAGACGTTGATTTAATGAAATAACTGAGTTTTGGGGATAAGATAAGAAGAATTGAAATAAAGCTTTTTAAGTACATTGGTGTATTTTCTGTTTGACGCATGGAGAAAAGTTGATAACAAATGTGGGGCTTAAAAACAATAACATATAAGTACCTGTACTGGATAACCAGTGAGATGAGGAATGCCTCCTTATATATCCTGATTGATGATGGTTTCATCAGTTCTCATATTTCTATGATGTAATATGTTGATTTGAATTTCTTTGTTAGTGACTAAAGTGAGTAAGAATGGTTTTGTGATCATTTAATGAATGAGTGTAATTTGGATATAAATCTTTGTTTATTTTTCAGTGCTGTGGTAGAACAATATCTGTTGGAAAAGTCAAGAATTGTATCACAGGCCCACAATGAAAGGTAAGGTAAAATGAGTTGGTAAACAGGGAGTTTTACTTGGTAGTATAATTCATGAATATTTTTCCATGTTATTAAACATACATTCCAGCATCATCATTTGTAGACCAAATCATTTTCTTTTGTCTTCTTAGTGGTATCCTGCTCAAATTTTAAAGTGCCCCAGGATCATGCTTTATCTTTCCAAGCTTCTTTCCCAGTTTAAAAAGATAAACCCCCCAAACTACCATAAACTCCCCAAAATGGAGGTTTCCATGAAGCATCCTTAATGTTGTAATTTACCTTCTCAGTCTCAGATAATTTACCTTCAGAAATTGTTCATCAAATTGAGCACTATTTCTCCTTGGCTTCTTAACTTTTGACAAATAAATAACCACCCAACCTGACTTAATATCAGTAACATGTTTGTTGTCTTGATTTCAGGAACTATCATGTATTTTATTATCTTCTTGCTGGTGCCACGGAACACGAGAAAGAATCTCTGTGTTTGTCAGATCCAGATGACTTCCATTATTTACGGCAGGTAGGATAAACATGTAACTTAAGCTTAAGAAATCCCATTAGATGAATGTTCGTGTATTTAGTTACTAAAATTGCAATGTGATACACTGTATTCAGATCTTTTTATATGGTATCATTCTTCTTCTTGGAATAAGCATACCTTGGTTACTATTGGTTTCAAATATTTCATAATCTGCTCTCTACTACAGAGCCAGTGCCATACCCTAGAGGGAGTGGATGAGGCCCATGAGTTTGCTCGGCTAAAACAGTCCATGGAAATTGTGGGGTTCTCCACAGAAACCCAGAGAAGGTAAGGCCTGCGGGCTAACCACTGGAAAAAAAACTGCTTCATACTGTGAGAGATGTGCATTACCTATAGTGTCTAGCACATCTCTAACATAACTATCTGGTATTGTTTTTGTAAAAGCCAGTTGGGAGGGTTAAAGGACGTAGAAGCAGTCCTAAACATGTAAAGTGCTGTGTGAATGATGTGTATGCAAGATATTTAAAAATGTACATTATTTGTTTCTTTTCAGGGTCTTCTCAGTCCTGTCTGCAGTGCTTCACCTGGGAAATATAGAATTTAAAAAGGTTTGCTTCTTAACATTTGATCTAGTTATATTTTGATGTGTGCTCTCACAGCTAAGAAATATAGAGTTAAAGAGATTTGGTTTCTAACATTTGATCTAGTTATATTTTGATGTGTGCTCTTACACCTGAGAAATATAGAATTTAAAAAGGTTTGCTTCTTAACGTTTGATCTAGTTATATTTTGATGTGTGCTCTTACACCTGGAAATATAGAATTTAAAAAGGTTTGCTTCTTAACGTTTGATCTAGTTATATTTTGATGTGTGCTCTTACACCTGAGAAATATAGAATATAAAAAGGTTTGCTTCTTGACGTTTGATCAAGTTATATTTTGATGTGTGCTCTTACACCTGAGAAATGTAGAGTTTAAAAAGATTTGCTTCCTAACATTTGATCTAGTTATATTTTGATGTGTGCTCTTACACCTAAGAAATGTAGAGTTAAAAAGATTTGGTTTCTAACATTTGATCTAGTTATATTTTAATGTGTGCTCTTACACCTGAGAAATGTAGAGTTTAATGTTTTGATGACGGATAAATTTGTGGCATTTACCTGTAAAATATTGATACTTTAGAACTTCAACATGTAACCATGCTAGTAAATTATTTAGATAAAGGTCAATCCTCAATGTCAGTCTAACTGTTTTTAATGGTATACACAACCAATTAATGAATGCTGATATAAAATTGGTGTAAATAGTTAATGATTGTCAGGTCTTCCATTACAGAAGTCAGAGATCCACCATGATGAGGTAGTCTATATAAAGTATATATAAAATTGATGTAAATAGTTAATGATTGTCAGGTCTTCCATTACAGAAGTCAGAGATCCACCATGATGAGGTAGTCTATATAAAGAATATATAAAATTGGTGTCAATAGTTAATGGTTGTCAGGTCTTTCATTACAGAAGTCAGAGATCCACCATGATGAGGCAGTCTATATAAAGAATATAGAAAGTGTCCAGGTCATTTCTGGCTTGTTGAAGGTAACATGTGAATATTACTGAAGCGACAGCTTGAGGAAAGTTCTAAATCTAATTCCTCTGAGATCATACAGTTATGGTCAAAACTTGAAAACAGTGTTGTTCTTGAAAAATTCATTAGAAGCCAACATGATTTTTACATCAGTCTTAGGTGCTAAGGAAACATATTTATAAAAGCTTTGTCAGATTCACATCTCCTAAAGTATGTTTTTGTAGTGACAAAATTTTGGTTAAGTTTTTCACATGTTTAATTATTGGAGTCTGGATTTGCACACAGTTATATTTTTAAATGGCTTGTGAACTTTTAGAATTATAATCTCTCAAGCTTATGTTTTCATGATATACTTAATGTATTGTAGTTAAGTGTAGTACTGTCCTGTTTATGTATACATGTTTTTGAATTGAGGACTATTTCTATTAGGTGAAAGAAGAAACTTTAGTAGAAGCCCTTACAATGAAAAAGACAACTGCGGGTGAGGAAACAGTGATAATCCCTTACAGAATGGAGGATGTGAGTATAATATGAACATATTATGATAATCCCTAACAGAAATGGAGGATGTGAGTATAATATGAACATATTGTGATTATTGATTACAGAATGAAGAATGTAATTTAAATATAAGCATATTTCTGAAGCTGGTGCTGATTTTTTGGAAAAATCAAAGTGAAATATTATGTGAAGTATTAAACTTTTCTGTTGATGTCTGATTTTTTGTATTGTTATTGTTGTGAATAACAAAAATTAAGAATCAGAATAAGTAGTATTTGAGACAGATTTCTATTTGCCAAAGGCATGAAGACTGCAATGATAATAATAACTAGACTGCAACTGGCTTAAGCCAGTGGCGGAGGATTCCCCTGCAAAATAGGTGTGGAAACGCTCTTACAAGGTCATGTGAAGGTCATGGGTTAAATTTGACCCCATATTCTGAAAGAGCATGTGCAAATTGGGGGGGGGGGTCAACAAAACATCACTTTTAGCCCACTTCAATATTTCTCCATGAAATAGCTGAATGACCTTGAAAATGAGGGTCAAGGTCAAATTTGACATTTGATTTGGGGGTGTTGGGTATATGTTTGGGGTAGTTTACTATAGCATGTTATCACAAAAAATCAATATTTCATGGAGAAATTGACAGTCACTATTTCTGTGAAATTATTAAAGGTACATACTAACCGAGCATCGGTGGAGTGTGGATTCCCAGTAACACATGTAAACCACTTCTACTAGTTTCTTTTACGACTCAAATAAATTTGACATGCCAAGGGATAAACTGAATAGATCACTCTATCAGCCATAAAAGTGCTTTAGACTGCTCCTTTCTTTAAATTTTTGGTCGGAAATTTAACCTACTTTCGTGACCTACTTTTCTGCCCCATTGACATACAGCATAAAATGCTAGCAGAAAAATCTGTTCAAACATCATTTTTGGGTCAAATTAAACAATGCTTTTTGGTAATTCTCTTAGTTATACTACTTGAAACTATATGCTGACATTTGGTTGGTTTCTGTGGCAAAAAATCGACTTTGTATGCATCTTTAATATTTAAAAATCTATATTAAAAAAACTAATCAGTCAATTGTGAATATTATTAGATACTGCACTGGATAGATATCTAGGGCAACTTTTCACATCATCCTTGTGGCTCTGTGACATCTGGTTTACCACCTGCCGAGTGTCAACCTCCTGGAGCATATTTTGCAATAAGTTGACCTTGACCTGACCTACTTTCCTAAAATTAGGTCACTTGATATAGAATTATTGTGTGACCTCACCTGTGAAAGGATTTGTCAAAATGTTGAAAATTCTAGGAGATATTGCATTTTGAAATTTGCAAAAATTTCACTTTAAAAGGCTCTGTGACCTTGAAAATTAGGTCAAGGTCAAAAAAATTGAGTGGACCGGAATAACTTTTCATAGGCTATCAGTATGAATTTTTTTAAGAATTTTAGAAAGAAATTTTTTGACGAAAAATAATAATAATAATAAGAAGAAGAAGAAGAATACCAAAAACAATAGTATTCCCCTATGGGGAATCTTAATAATAAGAAGAAGAACAGGAAAAACAATAGTATTCCCCTATGGGGAATCCTAATAATAATGGCCCTTGCTAAATGCAAGTATTATGGAAGGCAGGCATGTAATAATAATAATAATAATAATAATAATAATAATAATAATAATAATGGCCGTTGCTAAATGCCAGTATAATGGAGGGCAGGCAGGTTACATGTTGTTAATTAGTTTATTTATAGCCATTGGTTTTGCTGTGGGCCAGTAAATTTTAAAACTGTGTGTGTGTGTGTGTGTGTGTGTGTGTGTGTGTGTGTGTGTGTGTGT